TGAATGCCGAACGTCATTTTTTTTCTGACGTGGCACTATGCCGACGTCAGCCGTTAGATGATAGTGTCACGCAATGCTTTTTTTTTTTTTTTTTTTAGAATCAAACAGTATGATCTGGAAGTCTGTCGGTCTCTTCTTTGGGGCAAGACCATAGCCCTACTGGAGAGAGAGAGAGAGAGAGAGAGAGAGAGAGAGAGAGCTGTCTGTGTGTGTGTGCAGTGCGGAGTGGGGCTACGGTCTTCCCCCGAGCATAACGCTGCCTGAAAATGAGTGTATACAAGCCATCTTCCGGGTCAGGTACAGACAAAATGAGGGTGCGTTATGATAGTGTCACGCAATGCTTTTTCTTTTTTTTTTAAGAATCAAACAGTATGATCTGGAAGTCTGTCCGTCTCTCCTTTGGGGCAAGACCATAGCCCTACTGGAGAGAGAGAGAGAGAGAGAGAGAGAGAGAGATCTGTCTGTGTGTGTGTGCAGTGCGGAGCGGGGCTACGGTCTTCCCCCGAGCATAACGCACCCTGAAAATGAGTGTATACAAGCCATCTTCCGGGTCAGGTACAGACAAAATGAGGGTGCGTTATGTTCGGGAGCAGACCATTGTGCAGGCTGGTGTCCACGGAGCGGGAAGAATTTGTGGCACCAAGGCATACGGTCGCAGAAGGGATCCGCTTCTGGATTTGAGACTATTATAATTCGCATACGGTCGCAGAAGGGTCCCCTGAATTTGAGACTATTATAATTCGGATACGATGGATTGACTTTGAAACTTGTTTCTCAAAGTTATAGCAATGTCAGACTGTGGTTTATGACTCATCGTCTTTGGCCTATTGTGATCCGCTTGCTTCCTTTTTTTGTCCTTGAGTGAAGGAAAACTAGCTGTTTCTAAAGAGAAATGAGCGTGTAACATGTGGGTGCGTTCAAGCATTCAATGGTGGGGCACGTGCGAGTCTGGTGGGCAAATGTAGGGCGCGGGGGGGTTCGGGCGGGCAAATGTGGGGCATGGGTGCTTCAGGGTGGACATAGTCAGGTTATAGGTCGCATTGGGCGGGCCACGGTTGGGTCCACTATGGAACCTGGGCGGGTTGGGTGCAGTTGCTAATTTTTTTGGGTCCCTGGGCGGGCGGGTGCGGGTTGGAAAATCAGGGAAGGCCCGGGTATGGGTAGGATACAGTTTGGATTTTTTTTCCAAAGTCGATCCGGATTGGGTATGGATGAAGAATGCTTTTAAGAGCAGGTCCGGGTCAGGTTTGGGTGACAGACAAGGTTAGGTTTGCGAGCTCTGGTAGCGAGCGTCGTAGGCCCATTTGTCAGTAGCGTAGTGAGCGTCGTAGGCCCATTTGTCGGTAGCGTAGGCCTTCGACGAACAGGGTAGGGTCGAAAGCACCGTTGCCACAGTAGGGCTTTCCCGCCCTCCACTCGCCTGCAACGAGCGGCGACAGCCTGGGCCTACCGGCTGGTCCTACAGATCGCGCGTCGATCCGGGCCGTTCGGCAGGCCTGACGGTCCGGATGTTTGCGCGATCTTAAGATCGCGCGTCGATCCAGGCCATTCGGCAGGCCCGACGGTCCGGATGTTCACGCAATCTTAAAGTCTTAAAGTCTTAAGATCGTGCCAACATCCGGACCGTCGGCCCGAGCGGCCCGGATGTCATATTTCTTCCTTTAGCGATTTTAATAGTGTAGGGACTAGAGAGCAGCAAAAGAATAAAAACATAAATTCACATGAGGTCTGATCCAGCAACTCAACCTGATCAGACTGCATACGAGATCCCCTCGAGTCCAGCCTGACCAGTTCCGTGTCCGCACAGCAAACCAGACAACGAGTGACTATATGCAACAATTGAGAATTGAGAGGTGTATAAGGTGCGAGTCAAGCCACAAAGTGCACTTAAAGCATGTGAAACGTCTCAGTTGAGATCCCCTCGGCAGCGGGTGTCCTAACCAAAAGAATAAAATTGTGGATCCCAGTCAGAAAGAGAATGAACCAATGTCTAACAGATTTGCGTCCAAAGGGGCCTTCTTGTCTGGGCCCGGTTCCCACTGGGTCCCCAAGGGTCCCACGTAGGTCGTGACGAGTCCCAACCAAGAGGAGTCCCACATGGACTAAGTTTCTGCCTCTACCGTAATGAAAAACGAATTTCAACTTCCAGCAGAACCTACAGACTACAACCATTCAGAGATGAAAAGACAAAGCACTGTAGAAGGACTCGGGATTGAAATCAAGATACTTCATTTCTCCATCCATCAGGTGAGTAAGTAGTTCACACATTCAAGCACACAATCAAGACCACAGAGGAGTAGGAAAGAAACCCAGAATAACCCCAACAGGACAATCAATACCATGCACACATACATGGGCAGCCCGTAGGTGCACGACACTTACCTGAGTGGCCTGAGCTTTGAGATTAATAGTACTCACCCCCCTCTCATATGATCCTCCTAACACCTGTAACGCTACCCCTACACTAGTGTCCTATATCCTACCTAGGAGGGTCCGACTCCAACACCCGAGTGCAACGCCGGGTCCCCCGCCGATGCTGAAGAACAAAGTAGCAACTTGCAGTCTGTAGATGTTGAATGGCTGCTGTCCCTCAAGTTCGCCTACTTGAGGGAAGCCCTTAAGTCGCCAAGTGTCTCCCTTGAATCAGATTCCAGGTGTGAGTGCCTCTCACTGTCGCCTCTCTCAAGTTGTCGCATGAAGTCTCCACCAAATGTCTCGCCACCCCAATCTCACTCTCAAGCAACCTCGTTAGGTTCAATGTTGACCCCACACGACCTAACCAGGTGGGGGCAGCTTCCCTTAGGCACGCTGCCCCACTTCCCTTACAACCAACCCTAACCCTAAGTGCTGCCCTCAACCACTCAGGTTAGGGTTAGGGCAGGAAAGTCAACTCTCACCAGCAAGCAGAATCCGCTCTGATACCAATGTTATGATCCTGGCCAATTTGGAAGTACACATTCATCAGAAAGCACAATGCTGTCCACTTGCAAAACGAAATGAATGAACTTGAGAGTAGAGAGAGGGAAAGAAGAAGAAGAAGAAGAAAGAAAGAAGAAGAAGATGATGTACACCAGCATAGACCAATGATAATGCTCTTCTTCTTCGCCAACCACTCTCCTCCTCCTTATCTCCTCCTCTATTATTCACACAAGAAATAATAATACAATGTTGAATGGTTGAACCCGAATCAATGTCCGAATCCCTCTTCTACTGCAGGTATCACATGAGGTTCACCATAGCCATGGCCACCCTTCCTCTTCCTTCATCCAAGGCCGAGGCTATGGCGGACTACAGTAGGGCCGGGCCCTGATGTCCAAAGGACAACACAAAGCAGGTATGGCTGCTCTAGCTCAAGCCGCCATGCCTGACTCTGCCTCGAAGCTTCTTGGTGTAGCTCTCCCCCACCTGGGGCCTTGCTGCAGCGTCCACCAAGGTGATGAAGATGGCAACCACCATAGCCAGGTAAGTACCTTTGGCGCTCCTCCCTTCAGGTCCTGGGCTTCTTCCTCCCCAGCAGCGCTGCTACTTATTAGCGCTCCAACCAGTGTGTCGCCAAACTTGCACACCGAGAATGAGGCTGGGCACTTCCCTCAGCCTAGAGATATAGCGGCCTACTTGCCTCTTGGGCGGTGACTTCCATGCCGCTAGGCCTTCACAGGTAACTCCTACCTTTCGGCAGGAAACATCATTGCAGACTCTGATATTGCCCGTACAGGCCCTAGACTCAGACCGGTTGGACTGGTACCCGCCTAGACCTAGCCTACAACTACTGGGCCTCGGAAAATGCCAACTTTTGTCTTCTTCTGCTCGGCCACGAGTACCCGGCACATCTACCTCTAAATGGTGTGGTACCGGCCTACCTGCTACTTAGAGTGTTTCCCGCTGCTTCAAGTGTCCCAGGCCTCTTTCCCCGCCACTTGAGTGTTTTCCCCGCTGCAATCCTCAATGTCACGGCCACAGGTAAGTACCAGCGCTTCGGGGCCAATGAACGAACAAGTGCCCTTGCGGGTCACACACACACTCAAGCCGACAAGCACCCAGACAGACATGCAGACCAGCAAGTGTGCACACACACAGACTTAGAGAACTCAGTTGCAAGCGGGAAACTCAACAAGGCATGCAGTCCATGAGTAAAGCACAGAAATCAGCTGTGTGTCTCAGTCCGTGTTTGGTCGGGTCATTACATGACCCAAAACAAGTCCATGATACTTGCACGTCCTTTATAGTCTTTTCTCCCTCCAGAAGCGAGAAATCACTTTCCCCACAGAAAGCGAGCGGAACCAAGGCGAAACAGTAGAGATGGTGAAAACAAGGTTAGGTAGTTGACAACTGTCAAGCTAGAACCGCAATCATGACAATTCAGGTTGGTGGCAGCCACAGTTTTTCTCTCTTGCAGCCACCAACTTTTTTTCTTTGGAGGACAGGGACACTCAAGGTTCCCATGGTTCGGAAAATCCAGCCCTGTCCAAAAGAGAAGTTCGGCGAACTAGGTTCGGGTTCGGGGGCGTTTGACAAAATAGGCTCCGAGACAGAGGGGTGGTTTAAGAGTTTCAAGCATTTGTATACCTGCCACACGAGCTGTGCAAACCGCTTGCAGACCAGTGCGCATTTCGCAATCGCTTTTGCACAGTTTTTCTCACTTATCTTCTCCAGTATGCTCACAATTAGCACATCTGGAAGGTTCTCAAGAGGACAACCATCACAGTGCCTAGCGGTGCTCATGCTTGTTCCACTGTTCGGCTTCAAATGACGTGGCGTAGAGCAGCTTGCTCGTGGCACTCTTGAAAGAGCACTCCTTTGCAATCGCTGAGTCCTATCAGCCACGTCAGTGTGAAGGATAAGATTCCTCAGCCGTAGCTCGACGTCATCGTTTGTCATTACCGAAGACTCTCCAAGCCTCCCGGACTCCATCTCTCTCGTCCTCCTCGACCTTATTTTCTGAAAGCTCACTCAATGCTCCTCACATAAACCACCTCCTTCAAAGAGGAGGAGAGGGCTCACCGCCCACAATCCACAGGTCTGCCTTGCCATTTGAGCAATCCATTGCCTTGTCCTCCGCTTCTTGCTTTCACCCTTAACTTGATACACATTCCTGCCACAAACAATTTTCCAACACGATCCATTAATGACAACTTTCCATCATTCAATAACAACACCTATGCTGTCTTTTGAATGGATTAACGCTGCAAGCCTACCCCAGTCCCTGTTACAGAGTCCCCAATTATTGCACTCCGCAGGCCCTACCGGTAGTTAAATCTTAGGGTCTGTAGGTCTAGGCATCGTAGGTCTGTAGGAACAGTACCTGCAGGATCACGCCAGTCCCCAAAGGTCCAGTTTTTGCAGCAGCCTCACAAAAAAGGTGAGAACTTTCCCAAAATAGCAACTTGGCAGGGTAGAGGCAAAAGAAGGCCGGTACCGATTGAAGCAGGAAGGCCCAGTCCACGAAAACAATATATTTTGGGCTACAGTGCCAGACGGCAGGCAGTTGTTCATTTTGCAAATTTGTGGAGCGCTGTTGGAGCTGTGCGAACTAGCGACCTGGACGAAGAAGTGCAGTGAAGGGAGAAGACACCCAACGCCCCTGGCTGAAGGAGACGGTCATAGCCAGGAGGGGGAAGAAGCAGACTTGGTGGCCAATACCGCCTGATGTTGAGAGAGATACACTGCAGTAGCATCTAGGACATAGACGGAGGAGAGAACAGAAAGGGAGAGCAACGAGGGTGCACAGTGCAGAGAAGGAAGAAGAAGAGAGAGAGAGAGAGAGAGAGGAGAGGGAGAGAGAGAAACAGAGAGAAAAGCAGCGGATCGGACAGGGGAAAGTCGGGATCTGAGTCGGCGGTTGTTTCCAAACTTTTCCAATTGTATATTATTGTATCTGAGTGGAACTTCGAATTTGCACTGTTCATGGCCATATCTCAAGCTCGTGTGAGCTTTATCTGATTGCTCTCAAGTGCATGTTGCTTTGTGAGTGAAATAGTGTCAGGATCTTTGCACTGGTATCGGAGCAGTTACCCGTTGCACAGCGGTGGTGGAAGAAAGCCGGCAAGGAATAAGGCCGGCGGGAGTGTTCATGACAGGGTTTCACTGTAGCAGGCGAGAAAGGTGAAAAAGGTGCTGAATCAAGCTTGGAGCGCGAGATACGTACCTGCAGCAGGTCAACATCGGTGGGGAGAGGCACCGTGAACACCGAAGTGCAATGCTTTCTGCCCTGAACCCTGCCTGTTGGACCTTTTTTGTTGTTTTTGTGAAGTTTCCATAAACTTTCTTGGTGACGGCTGCTGCTGGTCAAGTACGGTAGGTGTCAGTCCCACCATACTAGAGTCCGACTCCAAATTAGAAAAGATAGGTGTTGAGGATTGAGTCTAAGTGGCGAGGAGGCGGAGTCATACACATCTGTGCCATCACTCACCATGGACGACTATCCCATGTTTGCTTTTCTGGCCCTTTCCGTGATCTGGGAGCTGTTGTTCCGCTTGATAGTTCCATTGGGCTTCGCACACGCCTGCAGGGTGGCTGTGACCACCAAATCAGGAATTAGTACTGTACCGTATACCGCCACTGAACAGGTGAGGATGCAGGCGAAACTGCAAGAACAGAGGGACAGAAAAGCAGCGAAAATTAAAGAAAAAGAGGAGGAGATAAGAAAGAAAGTGGAGGAGAAAGGTGAGACTGGAGAAGGAGAAGAAAGAGATGGACGAGAGATTGCAGAAGGAATTGGAGGAGGCATCGAGAGAGATCATTGAGGAGGAAGTTGAGGTGCAGGAGGAGGAAGAGAAAACCAGCGGTGCAGAGACTAGTACCGCCGCCCACATTGAAGTATATCATGGTGATGATGAGGAGCGGGTGCAACAGTTTGGCTTCCACGCTGAGTTGTCGGGTGGAGACAGAGGACGAATAGGAAGATTTCGTGGCCCGGTTGGAAAGGACCGCAGACAAAAGGGAGAGACAGATTTTGTTGGAAGAAAAAAAAATATCCCTGCCTCCGAAGACTGTGGCCCAGAAGAGGAAGGAGATGGAGGAGCAGCAGAGATTGAAAGAGGAAGGAAAGAAGCTCCAGCAAAGGTTGAAGGCGCAGAAAGGAAAGGAGGCGGCGATGGAGGAGGTGATGACACTGACTACTGACACCCTCCTCCACCACTCTCAGGCTCTAGCTGCTATCCAACACACCCTGACACACATCGAGTGCCAACAGCATCCATTCCAGACTGTTTGGAACAACTTCCTCTCTGCAAATGCTCACCGGATAGATGAGCGGACATCAAACTATGCCCTGCAAATAGACAAGCTCATCACCCAAAAGATTGACATTGCCGAGAGGAAGCCAAGTGGCGGTGGCAGAGCTGGAGGAAATGGAGTAAAAGGAGGAGAAAGATAGAGAATGAAAATGAAACTGCCAACAACCTACACCGGCGCTAGGGGTGAGGATTTCTATACCTGGGAGGCAGCAATGGACTGCTACCCGTACGGGCAGTGTATACCGTATTGGGACTGCTACCTGCACTGGCAGGTGCACTGAGATGGTGTGATTGACAAATGGCCGCGAGGAGTTGTTGGAAGTCCACGTCAATTATAGCAGTGCCATTGTTGTTAAGCAGGTCTGGTAATGTATGAATGAAGTATCTGCTTGGCAGTTGCTGTTCACCCAGGGGAGTTGCCGGAAGTCGTGTTCTGATACAAGTCCGGCCATAAAAAAAGGCCAGATGCGTCCAGGAGGGTCCTCATGGGACTTTTTCAACTTACCTGCGGACGCAATTGGAGTCAGGCTGATCGAGGCCGGGCTGTAAAAGAGGTCAGATGCGGCCAGCAAATTCCTCAGCTGTGTACACCCTGAGTCCAGCGCTCAGGCCCCAATGCTCAGCTGCTGTTTCCTTTCTCCCCCCCCCCCCCAAAAAATTCTGAAGAGAAGCAGCCCTGAGGCATCATCATTGAACTGACCGCCCCGGAAATCCAGAACGATTTTGCTCTGTTAGATTGCTAGATGACCTGTTATGCCACCAAACCTTGTTTCTTTCTTCTACTGCAAAAAACGTTTTCTTTGAGAATAATCGCTTGTTTTGCGTTGTGTGGAATGACCCACACAGTTGCAGTCCGTAAAAACACAAACTTTTTGGAGAAAAAGGTGCCCAATTAATCACTTCGTCAAGATTATTGAACTGACCGTCCGTGAAATCCAGAACGATTTTGCTCTGTTGGATTGCTAGATGACCTGTTACGCCACCGAACCTTGTTTCTTTCTTCTACTGCAAACGTTTTCTTTGAGAATAATCGCTTGTTTTGCGTTGTGTGGAATGACCCACACAGTTGCAGTCCATAAAAACACTGAGTGGAATGACCCACACAGTTGCAGTCCATAAAAACACTGAACTTTTTGGAGAAAAAGGTGCCCGATTAATCACTTCGTCAAGATTCCGATTCTATGTCTGTTTGTTGTGATTCTGAAAATGTTTGTGATCAACCAATATTGTGTTTGTGCTCAAAAAATATTGTATGGATCCCAGATGCTTACTTGCCGAGCTTTGACTCGTTGTGTCTGTGCGTATGGAAGTGCACGTATGTGTGGGTGTGAGACTCGGTTAAGTGGCCCGAGATGGGGTGATTAAGAATTGGCAGGTGCACTGAGATGGTGTGATTGAGAAATGACTGCGGAGAGTTGTTGGAAGTCCACCTCAGTCATAGCAGTGCCACTGTTGTTAAGCAGGTCTTCTGATGTATGAATGAAGTATCTCCTTGGCAGCTGACCCAGGGGAATTGCTGGAAGTGTTCTGATGTGAACCGTCATGCTCGGTGAGCATCTCAGAGCATTTCCTGGAAGCCAAAGCCAAAGAAGAAACCAAACACGTGTCAGAATCACTTTGTGGACAGGGTGGCAAAGTCTCTCTCTCTCTCTCTCTCTCTCTCTCTCTCTCTCTCTCTCTCTCTCTCTCTCTCTCTCTCTCTCTCTCTCTCTCTCT